ATGCAGAAATTTCCAAGATGTTTATTGCTATGAAATTTAACCATCATGTCTATGAAAAACAGAAGGACACATTCAGCACTCAAATGGAAATCTCTGAGTCAAATTTAAAACATGTAACACCCTTCAGATAAAAAGTCAAATAGACACTGGCCCACATTCCTATGCCCAATATTTTAGCCATTCATTTGCATTGGGTACCATTACTTCTGGATCTTTAGGTATGACCATTAGTAAAATGCATTTAAATATAACATGGTAAAAACTATGAAAGATGCTATAGCAATCATGTTTGAAAATTAGTTCTAATCTATTTGATGAAAACTTCGAGTCTTATAATAAACAAATACATAGGTTAAATTCCAAGCCATGGGGGCATATGAGCAAAGTGTAGGATGTTTCCTTCTGTACGTTAAAATGAGCCTCTTTTTTGTACTCAAAATTAGAGATTATTAGTTAAGCTTAAGAGTCATACATTTGGGTATTCTTTTTTTCTAGGTCTATGATTTCAATTATCCTAACCATCCCTCTTAACAACAATACCACCAATAATATAATAATTGTACCTAATATTTACCATACACTTACCATGAGTTAGGGCATTGAGCAAAGCTTTCCAAATAAGTGTGGTCAGTGGTGTGCATATCTTTCAATTCTCACAATCATTTGAAAAGGCACACGCTACTATTTTCACAGTTTTAAATGGAAACACAAGCAAAAACATACCAAAATAACTTCAGATTTAAATTGAGTGAGTTAGTTGAGTTGAGACTCACACCCAACCAACGCCTAAGTACATGGTCTTAATCATACATTATACTTTCTCCTCACATATTACGGAGTTTATAATACTAAAAAATTAGAAATCACCTCTCCAGTAAACAGTCAGAAATGGCCAATACAAATAATTCCATCATTCAGCTTAATATGATCTAGTCAGGGATATTAAAAGCCTTGTTTAGAAGCACTGCATTAGAGAGGTGACAAGTCAGGTGAGAAAAGACTGGTTTTACCCTGTGGTCAGTAGTATGAGGTCCTGTCACTCAATGTGCAATAGGCCAGTTGCATATGTTCTCGCAAAGTTAAGCAGTGCACATACGCTGTGTGTGTGTGTGTGTGTGTGTGTGTGTGTGTGCGCTAGAACAGGGCAAGGGTCTTCTTTTTTTTTTTCCTCTTTATTTTCTCCAGGCAAGAGTTTGATGCCAAGCCTATTTACAAAGTTCAGCTTTGGGGTCATGAGAATTTTGCTGCATACAACTGACAGTTTTATGTTCGTGAGACTCACAGAGCTTTTATCCTCTTCCTGGTCTTTCTTTACTGCCATGTCTCCTAACCTCTGCTTCTCAACCTGCCCCAACTATTGTGTAGATTCTTTTGGGGAGTTTTGGCCCCGGCCGGTTGGAATTTCGGTTTGTTCCTTGGTTTTTTTTGCCGGATTGCTTTTGTTATTTTTTTGTTGGTTTTTTTTTTTTCATGCAATGGGGTCTATTCAGGCTGTTAGATAATAGTCTCATTTCCAACTAGATAGATCTCTAGAGATAAATATAATAGGAGTTTTAGAGAGCTATAGGCCTTCTGAGGTTTTTCTGCAATCAAAGAAAGTAATAAGAAAAGGATAACTTAGTAATCATAAATATCATTCCGTGTTTTCTGCCAGACTTAGTTCGTATAAATATCAGTAAATCTGTGGTTTCAATTGATAACCTCACAAATAAATTAATAAAGAAATCCTCATGGAAAGAATGGTCTACACAAGACAAAGATATAGGAAAAAATTATTTCTTTACTAAAGGTTGAAATCAGTCTAGGCCACAGTTTCTGGCTCTGGGTATGTTGTAACTCTCAGGCAATTAATGACATCAGGGCCCCAACTAGCTTTCAGTTGTAGAAACAAAGAAAAAAACTACATAGACAATCTTCAATGTACACACAAGCTGTTTTGGATTTATTTTTACGTTAGGTGTTTGGAAATTGGAACACGTTTTTCCCATGGAAACAATAATATAAATTGTGGTTAGACTCTTAAGATTGTCAATAAAAAGTCTATTTAACTAATAATGTATTTGAAATGTGGTACTAATGGCACTAACCATAGGTCGGGTTGTGGTTGAAAGCAGCCAATGGGAAACCACTGGGTAAAAGAATGTGGCAAAAGAGACTTCTCTCCCTTTAATGAGGCACTACGGAGTCATCCATTGACACAGCAAAATTGCATTTGTTGATGGCTTCTTGTTTTAAAAAAAATAGAACAGGCCGGGGCACTGTGGCTCACGCCTGTAATCCTAGCACTCTGGGAGGCCGAGGCGGGCGGATCACTCGAGGTCAGGAGTTCGAAACCAGCCTGAGCAAGAGCGAGACCCCGTCTCTACTATAAATAGAAAGAAATTAATTGGCCAACTAATATATATACAGAAAAATTAGCCGGGCATGGTGGCGCATGCCTGTAGTCCCAGCTACTTGGGAGGCTGAGGCAGTAGGATTGCTTGAGCCCAGGAGTTTGAGGTTGCTATCAGCTAGGCTGACACCACGGCACTCACTCTAGCCTGGGCAACAAAGCGAGACTCTGTCTCAAAAAAAAAAAAAAAAAAACATACTTTTGTCTTTTGAAGTTTGGGAAAAGAAGATAATTTAGTATCATCCGTAAACTTAGAAACCAAAAATAACCACAGCATTATATTAATAAATAAGTGAAGAAGCTGATTGCAAACAAAATGCACAGCATAAATTATTTGTCTATACAAAATGCACAGCATAAATTATTTGTCTATATACCCATCTCTCTATTTGTATATGCAAAACTCTAGAGAGATATAAAATACATTTTGTTTAATTTTTTATGTGTATAAGTTATATTTTGCTAAAATAGTTGTTTGGGATATCAATGATGTTTTTCTTCAGATTAATGTTTCAAATTGTATCTTCCTGGCTCTCCAGGAAGGTGATTCTAGTTTATATTCTCACTATAAGGACATGTGAGCAGCTGTGTAAAAGTGTCATATTAATTTATTTTTTGTTTCCAGGACCGTTTTATTTTCCTTTCCACACCCTCTACTTTTTTTTTTTTGCATTTTCCCATCTAAAAAGCCCTGGTCCCTTCTAGGTCCTCAAAGCCTGTCTTCTACACCTACACCATGGCATCTTATTACTCTATTACGCTATTACTCATCCTTTTACACTATTATTCAGAAATTGCCCCTCATCCAAAATTCCCACTGGGTTTCCAAAAATTACATCTCATTATCTGTAAAAGTTTCCCAAGTAAGTGCATTTGCAGAGCTGAGATAAGATTTGTTTTAGGAATGTGTCCACATTTTGAGGGTCAATTTTTTTTCTACAGTCTTTTTTATCCATAACTCAAAGCATACAAAAAACACTAGTTCAAAAGAACATTGAAAAATAATGGATTCTGAAATATCATACATAGTGGCTGCAAATGGTGAATTTCACTGAGAAGATAGCTATCCATAGCCTTAAAAATATTTATACGTTTTGATTCAGATAGTTCATTTCTGAGACATAATCAAGGATTTGATCAAAGGTTTAGGCAATGGGGCTTCATCCAGGGTTGTTTAAAATACAGGATAAAAACAGACACAAATGGCCAATTATAGCACGTTTGTGTAAAGGAATACACTCTCAATCATGCCACACATGAAGGATGTTAATGGCATCCAGAATGGTGGTGGCACAGGATTAAGTAAAACCTAAAACACATAAGTTCACATCCTCATAAATTTGTTAAAATTGCGCTCATAGGTAGATCCACAAACAGATCCATAGATAAATCCATTCTGAGTATTAATAGCAGTCCTTTTGGAGGTTGATCATAAACAACAATTTGGATTTTGTTTCAGATTGCTTCCCGATGATATTGCACATCTCTCGTAACTCACATTTTATGAAATCTTAATAAAAAAATCTTAGAGTCAAAAGACTAAGTACTTTCCTGTGGAAGACAAGCTGTAGTAAAAACACAAATTCAAGTAGTGTGAACTGACCTTGAAAGAAACAACAGCCTTATTTTTGCCTTTGGTACTCCCTGTCCTTGAATGGGGCAGGTGCTTGGTTTTTGTTGTGTTTTTCCCCCCATTTCTCTATTGCATAGAATCCAAATCAATAAATAAGTAAATAAAGACACACAGACTTCTTTCCATGGCTGTGTTGGGCACCAAGCATTTCAACTGGGGTTTATGAGGTAATAAATTATTGTTCCTTGTCCTGGCAAGTCGCTTTTTTGAAAGGCCACATCCGGTCCTTGGGGCACCAGCTTTTATTATGCATTTCATATTGAACCAGAGGTCAAATTAATTGACCTTATCTATGTGAAAAACCAGCTGGTTGCCTAGAGAAATAAAATCTTTTACAGAGAGTTTAGGCCTTAGGGACAAGAAAACAACAAGAAAATCAATCCCATGGCAGCTACAGCCTCCAATTAGGAAGAGAGTAATTGGAACTTATTTTTTGAATGATTAGCTGGAATCAATAACAATTATCTTTTCTCTAAGGAACAGCAGAGTCAGTGAGATTCCAAACATCATTCACATCTTCACACATATTTCACATGTTTTATCACATATTAGAAATTTGAGGGAGAGGAGAGAAAACCATTCATTATGTGGACTCTAAGGACTAATGTGGCAACACTTTCGATGGAAATATCTAAATCATCCAGATTCTGAAAGAAATCACTCTATACCTAAAAAAGTCAAAATTTGCACAAACCCCATCTTCCAAATACAAAATAGATACTCCACCCATTCTGAAATACAGTGGCCTAATAGGAGGCTAATTTATTTTTCTAAAACATCTGTTCCTTCATTTGGATATCTGGCAAATGGGATAATAATTCTTGAATCTCACAATTATAGGAATTAAATCAGAAAATAGAAATAAATTTCTTAGCATTTAATTTCTGGCAATAAGCAATGAAAATGTTAGCCTTCTATATTTACATAAAACAAGAGGTAAAATAATGATTGCTAGTTTCACTCAGAAAAACAAGATGTAATTTATTTCCACCTAAAATAGGCAAAAATTAGATAACTAACTAAATAAGCTTATGTCTCCAATTTCGTAGGTTACTTTTTTAACTTCTCTTCTTTTCATCTATGTATGCAAACATAGCCCTGGACGTTTTATGTGAAAAATGATTTAGAGTGGCAAAGATAGGTCTTTTGATATCATTGATGATTTGTGACTCTAATGTGTGAATTTGACTCAAATATGTGAATGTAGCATGCGTACGAAGAAATAATGAGATGAGGGACATCAATACGCTTTCCTTGAAAGCACACTGGGAGGGATTTACCATACCGATATCTGTGTCTCTTATTTTCTGAGCAAAACTTATGACTCCTCTCTGAAAAAAATTATTTTGAATTTATCATATGTAAACAAAATGGACAAATTTATCATATGTAAACAAAATCAGATTTGATGAATGAGATTTCCATGCTGCAGCAAGGCCCACATCAGATGGAGACCTGCTGTATCATCTAGCATGGAAAAGATTAAGCTACGGAACACACATCTGCTTGGTGAAACGCTGAAAAAGTTAATGGCTGTGAAAAAGGGGTTGAACCTCTAGCTGAGGTCAGAAACAGGGTGATTTAGTGACTTTAGTAAACAGACTTTCAATGGAGTAAAATGAAGTTTGGTTTCATTTGTCCAGGACGTACATCAATAAAGTTTTCAGTGCTTAAAGATAAGTTCAAAGCCCACTTGGAAAATGAACAATTTATAAAAAATCAATCGATGGTTATAGTAAATGAAACCATTATTAGTAATTGTATCTTTTTTAAATTTCACCCAACCCAGGATGTGTTTTTAGAAATGGGGACCTAGAGATAAAATTACTCAGTCAATTTTTTTTTAAAAAAGGGAAGAAGAGACAAATGACCCTCTACCCCTAAACAATGAGCACAAAAATGTTGAACTAAATCTTCTGAAACTAATAGAACTGACTTTCACGTCTTCCCTAAATTCATATGGAGGGGAATGGCATCTTCCCATACCAATCATATGCAAGGTTGATTTAACATTACAAAACCATGCTCATGAATATACTCTTTGAAATTTCTGGTTTTCATTTATCAGGTGGGATTTGAAGTTCATGAGAAAGAAAGTCAAAATGAAAAAAAGAAAACATCAGACATCAGTAGAATAAATTAAAGGATTAATTTTGGAACTTGGAATTTGGAGAAGAGAGAGATTAGGTAAAACTAGATGCCTCTGAAAAGAAGAATTTTCCATTTTTACAAAGATTTAATAACAAAAATTCTGTGTACTTAGTAGACAGGATTGATAACATTTCTAGAAACTCATGTACAGATGAGATCACAGAAATACTCTCCTAGGAAATGCATTGTTGGATCTCTTGGGCCATAAGGTAAATCTGTTGGCTTATCAGATTTGCTGGAGCAATTTGAGCTGGTAACAGTAGCTGATATTTGAAAGGCATTTGTATTTCCTTATGAATCTTGGAGAAGGAGCGAGCATGGTGTCTTAGGGGGGATAAAAAGACCAACTTGAGGATCTGGGGCTGATCAGACTGCTTTGTCCTCCACGTTTCCATGTTTCCCTGTGGAAAGCAGGAACATGCGTGAGCTACTTTGACTCCAAGTACCCCAGGAACCGTCAGTGAACCTGAAAGCCCCCACATCTGGCTATAGCTTGCCCTTGTTTGCTTTAAGTTTTGCACACAGACGACCACCCTGGCTGTGATTTCAGGGATGGCCCAGCCCTCTTTATGCATGGCCAAGGAGGCGCAGAGTCTGGACGCTCACCTGATCCAAGGGTGAGGTCCACTGCACTTTCAGCTGGCCTTTGTTTGTGTGTTATTCCTCTTGAAAGAGATTGCTGCAGCAAAGCAAGCATACGTTCATCATCGTATCTCGTTTGCTCATTCCTTCTCCGGCAGGTACAAACCATGTCCCAGCAAAGCAATGGCCATTGAAGACAGCGACGCCCCAAACACGTAACTGTCAGGAATGGAAACTTCTGGTTTAGATGCTTCCAATAACAATTCACTTTCCAGAAAGGTTGTTTAGCTTTGTGACAGTTCAGATTGTTTCTCCTCTAAATAATTATCTTATATCTAGAAGAATAAATTGACTAGAAAAGCAGATTCCCCAAAGAATCTCAAACAATGATTGAGTACCATGCACTGCAGTTAAAGTATAAGAGAATGAGACAAACAAACATTATAGGAGAGAACAGTGACCTGAACGATCTAGTGGATATTATTGTTGTTATTCTAGAAACTCATCAGTTTTAGTTGTTTGTTTTGTTTTTAATAGTCTATATACAAAACTGAGAATAAATTATTCAAGCAATGGTCCTTAAAAAGATAAGGCAATTCAATTTCTACCTTCTTTATTTAAAAAAATATGTTATTGTATATGGAAACTTTGAAAATCCATGGACATAGCATCAAGACTTAGTTAAAAAGTAAGTTTTATTTATTGAAGTAGTTTGCCTCTCCTTAAAACAAACTTGATATATTTCTAAGTATAAATGATAGAATAGCTTGGCATGGTGGTTCATGCCTGTAATCCCAGCACTTTGGGAGGCCTAGGTGGGAGGATCACTTGAGGCCAGGAATTCAAGACCAGCCTAAGCAACAGAGCAAGACCCTGTCTCCATTTAAAAATAAAAAGAAGAAAATAAGAAACATTAGCCATGCATCATTATGTGTACCTACAGTCCTAGCTACTCAGGAGACTGAGATAGGGGGATTGTTTGAGTCCAAAAGTTCAAGGTTTCAGTGAGCTGTGATCATGTCACTGCACTGCAACCTAAGTGACAGAGAGAGAACCTGTCTCTAAAAGAGGGGAAAATAATGATAGAATATAATGTTATTTTCTCATATATTTGATCTACATGCCTTAAAGTAGACTATTAAGTAACTAATAAAACATTCTGGTGTATAAAGAAAAACAAAACAAAAATAGAACAACAACAAGAACACCAATCTAGATTTGCACTTTATTCCTTAATATATAAAATACATATATGATAACACAGATTGGAAAATAAATGTGTATTATGTTGAGGAATCACACCCCTACTGTCTCTTTGACCACATTTCCGGCATCTCATTCTTCTCCCTTTGAATAGCTCAGTGGGGTTGTGCCTTCTCTCTTGTTGCAGTGGTAGAGACATAGAAGTTCACTGCACTGCCTCCCAACACAAGGACCTGCCTGGCAGAAATTTTTCCAGATTATTGATTATATTATCTTTCTGGATCATAAGTGTCTGTGAGTCATAATCCAGGTGTCCTTTGACCAAAAATTGTCTTTTAATTTTCCAAAGGCTGGACAAATTCATGCTAGAAAGTAGGTAAGCGGAGGCCATGTCCCTCTGAGCCAGAAGGATTGATTCAGAGGACCCTGCATTCCCGGGAAAGAGCTTTCTAACTACATGCCCAAGGTTGAGAGCATTAACGGTCCCAGTCTAGTAAATGTGGGCCCTGGAAATGCCGCTTACTGGAATGTTTGCTCCAAATAAACAGGATTAAGATTAAATAGGTAGGTACAGATGTAAAGAAGGGGGGTGTTTTAGTTGATCGTTGATGAAGAAATTGAATCCATCTTTTTGAGATTTATACCATCACCATGTATGTGGTTATCAGTAAACATGGAAAACATTACTCAAATTATGCCTAAATTTCAACTGCAGAGAATATGTATACAAATAAATAAAACAAGTAAACCTTATTCTTAGAAATAGATAGTGTTGCATATTATAATAATTTCTAGCAGTAAAAGTTTCAGTTTTAGGATGGTTTGTTCTAAAATATAGATAGTACTTCTCTATTTGAAGAAGTAGCTATAATTCTTCCTTTCCTGGTATAATTTTCCAGACATTTAAGATTTTTTTTTTTTTACCTTAAAGGCAGACAAATATGCACTTTACACAGGACACATATCTAAAAACTTATATAACTCAGAAAATGGACAAGAGCAAATCATATTTGTTTATTTTACTATCGTCAATATCTAACATATTGTGATATGCAGCAGCAAGCCAATAAGTAATTAGTCAAATTATGACTGAATCACTAGATTTTATTTTATGTTAAATTGTGTCTAATGTAATTGTTTTGAAAAAAAAAAAAAGTCTGGTTTTCTCTCATACCTGTATCAATCTTTATTGAGAGAGTTTATACAGGAAGCAGAGAGTTTGGCACAGAATTCAAGACATAACAAATGCCTGATTATTCAACCTAATGGATGAAATTGATGAATTGGATACTACAAAGCAAGCTTTTCTTTGATAGAAATACATTCTAATTTCTTTTCTGCTTTTGTAACTTGCCTTCATAGTGATACTTTGTATTGGCTGACACTAGAAAGTCCTCTTATTTCCTGAATGATAGAAGGTGTCATCATGAAGGTAGAAGGAAGAATGCAGATTGGGCCTTTAAATGGTAGCATTCAGTCTTAGTGGTCTGCCTGTACTTAGAATATCACCCATAGTGAAAGCAATGACAGCATCATACTGATCCGTTTAGCTTTCCATGCCTTGGTAGTTTCAGACATTGCATGCTCCACTTCTGTCTGGGGTAAGATAGATGTCCGTTAGCTCTCCAGATGTGCTATCTGTTCAACTGCACACATATCCATGTCTGGAAATGTTTAAATAAATGGCTGAATTTTTTTCTACTTTATTTCTGGATATTTCAGTATCCTAAAGTCTTGTCCACAGCCAGTTTATATCTTTCTTGATCTTCATCACAATATTGGGAATTCCCCACCTTTCTCTCTCTCTCTCTCTCTCTCTCTATATATATATATATACACACATATATATACACACACACACATATATATAATTGTATATAATAATATGTATATATGATATATATACATATACACACACATATATAATCACATCATTTCATAACATTTTTCAAATGTTGTTTTCAAATGGTAGTTTCTAACTTCCCAATGAAGAACTAATTTTAAATGATGTGCTGATACTGCCATCTGGTGGCTATATTGGAGAATACACTTTTATGCTTACGTTGAATACAGAAAATTACTGATGGGTGCTCTATAACTCAATGAGTTGCCAAATATTTCTTGAGCATTTTCCATCTGCTACTCACAGTGAATGAAACATAATGAGTAAAATAGTCTCATTCTAGAAGTAACAAAAACTTAATTGAAAAATTACTTCAATATACTTAGTGACAAATGTGGTTATTATTTTTAAGGTTTTATATTTAATTTTTAACAAGCACTTTATTTTTGGAATAATGCTGCATTTCCAGAAAAGTTGCACAAATAATACTAGAGTTCCTGTATACATATCATCCAATTTCCCCTTAAACCAGCATCTTAAATTACTGTGATACATTTGCCAAAGCTGAGAAATCAACTTTGGTACATTAGTATGAATTATTTCTATTTCCTAATTTCAGACCTCATTTGCATTTCACCAGTTTTTTCATAAATGTCTTTTTTTCTGTTCTAGGATCCAGTCCAAGTTAGCATGTTTCATTTTATATTATATCTCCATAATCTCTTCTGATTCATTTTGTTTCAAGATGCCAAATTATTATACTCTTTTGCAATCATTATTTTGATAATATAAAACAACCCAATCAACAAGAAAGTGAGCATAGTATGTGTACTTTTAAATAATTAACTATTATACTCTTATGAGATAATCTTCAAGATTTGAAAGAATTTAAGAATATTGGGGAAATGACAATGTTTGGAAATAATAATTAAAGTATGTTGACTACATCTAAAAATAGAAATCTAGGCATAAAGTCTTGCTAGTGTTTGAAGCTGTCAGTCAAGAGGTAGTATGAGTCAAGTGCTAAGTGACTAAACCTCTACTTAATGAAAAAATTGAAGGGGAGAAAGAAGACAACAAATATTATATCTAAGGAGATCAGAAGATAGAATTACACTTAGTTAACATTTGCTTTTTTAGAAAAAAGTTGGAAATGAAAAGAAAATCATTATTAAGTGCTTTGAATAGAATTAAGAATGTATAGGAATTTATATTATAATAAAGAAGATATTTAAATAAGTGGAAAAAGGATGAGCTCATCAATGAATGTTGATGAAAAAATGTTCTTTCTTCAAGGAAAGAAAGAACAGACTTTTCCTAAGTCACAAAATATATACCAAAAATAAATTTTTGATAAATTAAATGGTGTTGAGAAGAGAGGGCACCACTCAACACTTGGGGGGGAAAGCTGAATTTATTACTTAAGAGAGAATTATGCTTTTTAGGCACTGTTTCCCTGATTGCAAGGCAGTAAGCTTATTTTATAAAGGGATTTGGAAAAGGTAGAGTTTAGAGGCTGGCAGACTTTCAATGTCAAGAGTGGGTGGATGTCAGCAGTGGAAGTGTACTTACTTTCGTAGGTTATTGTTGATTGGCTGGCTTTCAGAAACATGTTCATGGAGTGGGATGTTTGCTTACTGTCTGACTTTCAAAAAAACATGCATTTTCACTGATTGGCTGGCTTTCAGAATCACGATCATTGACTACAATGGTCTTTAACCAGATGCTACAAATAACATAATTAAGAATGGAGAAAAGATCTGAATACACACTTAATCAAAAAAGATATACAATGGTAGAGAAGGATAGAAGGGAAAAAAAGGCATTCAACACCATTAGTCATTAGAGAAGTGCAAATTGAAACTACAGTGAAATACCACAACACAAGCATTAGACGGGCTAAAATTAAAAAGAATGATCCTAATTAATAATAGAAAGGATGTGGAGAAACCGTAACCCCCATATCGTGCTAGTGGAAATGTTAAATGGTACAATCACTTTGGAAAACAATTTGATAGTTTATTACAATGTTAAACATATGCCTATCATATGGTCCAGCCATTCCACTTCTAGGTATTTAACGGAGAGAAATGAAAGCATGTGTCCATACATAGACTAAAACACAAATGTTCATAACAGCTTTACTTGAATAGTCCAAAAGTGGAAACAAAAC